AAAACTGGCTCCCTGTCTCCTTTGTTTTACTCTTCTAATTTATTTATATTTAAAGGTTTTCATTAAGAGAAAACATGTGATATTTAACTTTCTGTGTCTGATGTACTTCACTTAACATAATGTTCTCAAGATCCAACCATTTTCCTGCAGCTTCATGCTTTCATTCTTCTATATGACTGAACAATATTCCCTTGGGTACATAGCCCACGTTTTCTTTGTCCCTTTGTATTTTGGTAGACATCTAGACTGTTTTCAGAGCTTATCTATTGTGAACGGTGCTGCTATAAACATGGGTATGCATGTAATCACTATAGTAGGATGCCTTTAATTCTTTTGGGAATATACCTAGGACATATGTAGCTTGGTCAAAGGAATTTCTATTTTGAATTTCTTCAGTAATGTTCATGGTTATTACCATAGTGGCTGTACGAGTTTACATTCCCACCAACAGTGTACAAAGGTTTCTTTTTCCCCGTATCCTTACCAGCATTTGCTGTTTTTTTATGTTCTTGAGTCATTCTTACTAAGTGAGATGGAGTCTCAGAGTTGATTTGATTTTCATTTCTCCAATAGCTAAAGTAGATTAACATTTGTCAGATACTTATGGGCTATTTATGCTTCTTTTGTGAAGTGTCTGTGCAGTTCACCTGCCTGTTTTTTGATTAGGTCATTTGTTTTGGGTTTTTGTTTTTTTTTAGTTCTTTGTATTCTATATATTAGTCCTTGGTCAGAAGAGTAGCTGGCACGACTTTTTTCCCATTCTATTGGTTGTCTTATGACTGTGTATTGTTTCCTTTGCTGTGCAGAAGCTTTTTCAAATAAGAAGATATTGATGATCATAAGTCAATGCAAATGAATAAGAATATGTCCAAACTCCTACAGAAAAAAAAAATAATGCCAACACCACATTAGTTAGTTTAGTGTATTCTGTGGACCAGTCAAGAGCTATAGCTAGTGCCTTAGAGATCTTCTCATCTAAATTCTTCATTTTAATTGAGGAAAGTTAGACCTAAAAATGTGAAGTGGTTTACCCAAGTATTTACAGGAAGTTGGAAGAACCAAGCGTGTCTCCCTGAGACTTCAATAACTGTACCATGAAATTCTACACATTTTGGGGTTCTTTTGAATTGGTAGCAATTCATAGGTGCTGGGGGAAGCAAACATAGTTAGTTCCATGCCAGGCTGAATCCAGTCAGTCACTTCTACTGTCAGTTCCTGAAAACAGATCACTTAAAAGGAGAGCAGATGAACCTCAAAGCTTCCTAAAAGTCAAAAGCAAGATGGGGCATCTAGGGTGAAACCTGTGCTTTAATTAACACACACACACACACACACACACACACACACAAACCCATATCTATCTTGTATCTTTACATTCTGATGTAAAAGAATGACCCTTTTTAGAAAGGAGCTTTTTAAGACTTACTATACATATAGCTATAAAGTTTGATAAATTCAGGTTTTAAAAAAATTCTAGAGGAACAGGGAGGGTGTTATTGTACGTTGACCAGATGACATGGTCAGCGTTACAAACAGTGAACTTGAAATAGGCCTTCAGGGGACATTTTCTCCTAACCCTCTGTCAGGCAGCTTAATTCTAGCCACACTTCCTCCTAAGCAAATTTCTTTATTGATTTATAGCTATATGTACACAGAGGACAGGACCCAAAGTCTGAGGCTGCACAACCCAACTAAAATTTATTAGAATTTAAAGATGGGAGTTAAAAATGACTCTCAGAAACCTGCCCTGGGATTATATTAGTAGGAAAACGTATACACGATCGTCAGCACTTCTCAAAGTATGCCATTCTCATTGGAAATCTGATGCTTTTATCTTTGTATTTAGTGAGCTTGCTCTATATATGAATATATCCCCTCTCAGTCCCAGGCAGTAGTTATTTCTTAGAATTTACTTTAGGGAATGGCTTTTGACTTGTTCAACCATGGGTAGGTTACAGGCTTAATGTTCAGGTTAGGACATGGCATCGCCTGGCATCTGGCGTCCAGCAATTTACTCTGCACTAAGCAGCAAAGCAGTAATAAAAGGCAATTTGGGGAGAATCCATGGCGCTTCATTTGGAAAACAGAGTTATCTCTGCTGGAGTTAAGGTTAACGTTCTGAATTTGCAAGTGTTCCTACCTTTTTTGTACAGTTTTTGAACTGAAAATAAAAACAGACATAAGGCCTTACAGATAACCCCAGTAAATAAGACAAAACCGACCATCCTCAAAGAGGGCCAGAATATGCATTATTTGTGTGGCAAGCTAGTCACTGTGGCTCCAAAATTTTTAGGGATGCCAGCAAAGGGCATTTAAAAGTAGGAATTTATTTTTACAAGTAAGAATTTCCGCGCAATATGCACTTAAATGGGCTAGCGAGGAACTGGCTTGAAGAAAAGGAACTTGCTAGAGATCTGACACACCCTCCACTCCAGCCTGAAGGACCAGCCTGAGCGCTCCGGTTTCCCAGATGCAGGCATCGTTGACTTTGTGCCTCTTTCTCTTCTGGTGCAGAGGCAGAGGTTGCTCCGGAAGTCCCAGGGTTCCTGAGTGGAGACAGGGCCCTCAGGAAGGGCAGTGTATCGTGTACCATGTACCGGGGAGGTAGTCGTGTTTGTGCTACGGCAGCACCAGGTCACCTGCAGCATGAGGAGGGAATACCTCCTCCCCGACTGCACCACCTTTCGTGGCCCTCTGCTCACCACCAGCCAGCGCTCCTGGCCAGGTCAGCTCAGAATGACTCAGGTGTTCCCCCGCAGCAGCTGAACAATGAGCAGCTTTCTCCTGCCTTCGACTCTTGTTCCTCTATTTTCTTTGCTCTACTTCCGTCCTTGAAGAAAGCGAAGCAAAACAACTTCATTATTTTGAAGCCGCTGCTGCAGCAGCTTCTAACAACTCTTAATAGCAAAATGCAAAAGACCGTGAACATTTGTCTGGCTTTGCTTTCACTGCCGGTCTCTGTGCCTACCCTGAAGGGGTGGTACTGGGCAGTGTAGGTGCACAAGGCAGCACAATTTAAGGGAGGTGGATTAGCAAACCGCCTGAGTCTTTCTTCGTCTGTGTTCTCTGTGATATAAGAAAGGCCACCTGGTGAGCACCTGCTTCGGTGTTTCTGAGTGGAAGGAATGGGGCAAACCAAAAATTGAAAGGAAAGGAGACCATTAGCCTTCCTGGGAGGGGTAATGGTTATGGACTGAGGATGAGCTCTGAAATGAAGCAGACTTGATTTAAAAATTCTCATTTCTCTGACTAAGACCCTGCCCAAGAGTTGTAATATCACAACATCATAGTTTCCCAAGTTATAAAAGGGGAATGACACCTAGTCCCTAAGGCTTCTGAAAGGACTGAGTTAGAATGTATATATGACCTGTATAGCACAGGCTTTGGCGTGGGATAAACAATGTTTGCCTTCGTTTCTTTAAAAGAATAATAAAATCTACTTTCCAAGCAGACAGAGGTCAGATGCTATAGGTCAGGACCTCAGTGCTGATCAGCCCCCTTTCAGAAAGAATGTGCACTGCAGATGCTTAGCATCTGCTCAGCCTAAGTGACCTCTTTAGCCATTAAAAAGCAGAGAACCTACAGTCTGATATAAACTCTCCTGCTCTGTGTAACATCCTGATTGTAGATTTAGCAATACTAAATGGTAACAACAGAGCATTCCAGAGGCCTCAGGGAGCTTTGACACTACTGGTTTTGCAAGTGAGAGTTCAATTTGGCCGTAATTCAAATCTACTGTAAACCTAGTGTTCAAGGTAGCTTGCAAAGGTAACTGAAAGAAATTCAGTGTCAGTAAATAGGCATCAAATAGTTAAAAAAAATAGAGTACTTGCAACTTCGGTGTGCATGATTAATGAAAGGTTGTTTCAGATTCCACGCCAACTTTTAAACTAATCTAAACTGTTCTATTTACATTGTCCTTTCAAAATCACAAAAAGAGCTATTCTTACCAAGAAGCAAAGCATATATTTTACAAATCATGTACCTTATACCCTGCACCTGTATGCCAGTACCCTGTTTCACAGAGTAGGATAAGAGACCCGGGCTCATGCTATCAGTTGGAAGGTAGGATTGGAAACGTCTGTGCTTGCCTGGTCATATTACTGCTGTCCTGTTCCCTTTAGTGAACCATGACTTTCTTGTGTTTACCAAAAGATACATTCAGGATTATTAGTGAGCAACAAGCTTTTAGGATGCTCACTGGTTCCTCTGGCATGAGGAAAGGTAAGATAGCATGGTGAACAACCAGGAATCATAAAGACAGAAAGCCAGTGTTCAAAGCCTAACCTGGCTTCTTCCTAGATGCATGACTCTGTAAGCATTAGCTATCATCTCTAAGCCTGGTTCCCTCACCTCACAGAAGCATTATCACAATTGATGCAGTCATTTAGGTAAATCTGCTTTCCTATTTAAAAGGCTCTAGGGACATATCATCTATTATTACACTTTGCTTCTTTTCAGTTGCACTATTGGCTTGCTCTTGAATCTTTGGAAATCTCTTGTGACACCTTCACTTCCTCGTCTATAAAAAAGACTGCTGAAACAAGTGTCTTTCAGGAATACCCTCCAGCAGCCATATTCAACCCTTAGTGACCCAGAATATTTGGGGATGTTGTTGAAATAGACCCCTGGGCCGCAGTGCTTATGACCCAACATAGCTGGATGGAGCCTTATAATATCAAAAGGACCCCATTTTGATTCTGATGTGGCAGGGCTGTGATCGCTCTCCGAAAAATGCTGCCCTGCAAGCTCATTAGACAAGAACAGTGGTATCTGTGGATATAGAACTTGACAAACATCACTTTATTGGTAACAGGGCCAGCACCAAATCCTTGGCTGACAATACCTACAGCCTGTTCTTTGGACCAAACAGAAGCCTACTCTGGAGTGGTTTACATTCAGGCTTTCATTCTAGACTACAGAGCTGAAGTTCCCTGAACTCCATGGGTATCTTTTAAAGGTTAATTGAGTGTCATTGCCTTCTTCTGCTTTCTCTGCAGACACATTTGCCAGCAAAGTGGCAGCCACCCAGGACCAGTATGCAGACGCATCCATAGGTAACGTCACGGGCAGCAACGCAGTGAACGTCTTCCTGGGAATCGGCGTGGCCTGGTCCATTGCTGCCATCTACCATGCAGCCAATGGGGAACAGTTCAAAGTGTCCCCTGGCACACTAGCTTTCTCTGTCACTCTCTTCACCATTTTTGCTTTCATCAATGTGGGGGTGCTGCTGTATCGGCGGAGGCCAGAAATTGGAGGTGAGCTGGGTGGGCCCCGGACTGCCAAGCTCCTCACATCCTGCCTCTTTGTGCTCCTATGGCTCTTGTACATTTTCTTCTCTTCCCTGGAGGCCTACTGCCACATAAAAGGCTTCTAAAGGAACAGTCAGATATAGTAAATTTATATATATATACATATATATATATATATATACATAAAAATTGTGTATAACGAACAGAGGAGACTGACATTGGTCACGTTCACTTACCTGCTGATGGAATCCAGCTTCAAAAGCATACTCTGTACTAGGGTCGAAGTCAGAAACCATCACCTCCCATTCCCAGGGCATCGTCATGTTGAACAAGACACAGAGGCAGGGCCATCTCTGCAGCTCAGCCAAGAGGGGCTGTCCTCTCTCCAGGTTCACAAACGGTGAAGGCTTTGATTTGTTTTCTTGTTTTTGGCTTTACTTTCAGTGGGGTTGGGGAGGTAGCTGATATTTGGCTTTTTGTTCGTTTTGGTTTTTGGTTTTGTTTTGTCAGGAGGGCCAGGGTTTTTGCTTCTCCTCTGTGGGAGGACCCATCCAAATGTAAAAGGCTTTGGGGTAAAAAATCAAAATCCTGAAGATTCCCCTCACCTCCCCGCAAACATTTTCAAAATCACTTTGGAGTAAGAAAGGATCTGGGCATGGAAGAAGAAAGAAATGTGTCTTCGCTTATTACCAAATTTCACGCTCATCTTCTGAAGGTGAACAGAGGTGAAGCTGCCTCCAAGAAGCACGGGAGCTGGAATGGAGCCAGGAAAAGAGATGGTTCTACATACAGGCTAATATTTAGAGATATGGTGCCCTGCACTCTTGTTCAACAGGTACAGGGGTAACGTGCCTAGATTCCCAAGAACATGCAAATTCCTTTTTGTTTTTCTTATCTCTTTAGCCCCAGACTGTGATTAGCAAAGCCCTTATCTGGTCCAGCCCAGCTAAACCCCAAGAGTCCCATCCCGACCCCCTTCCTCCTGCTCCCCTGCCCTCCATACGATCCAGAAGAATAATCCCATCCTAAAAGCACACCATCCCTTTCCATCTGCATCAGTGTGTGCCCAGCCCCACGTTGCTGTTGCCTGGGATTGTCTGTCAGTTTTGTTTTCCGAAGCATCCATGGCTTGCACAATCCTGTCCCAGTCATGACTGAACATTTGCTACTTTTCGTGTGCCTGTTTGGGAATGTTGACGTGATACCTGTTACACAGTGCATGGATGAAAAACAAATAAAACAAAACAAAGTGTATCTGTACATAGTAGAGTATAGCGTATACTGTTCTCCCATTCAGCAATGTTGATTGGACATTGAAGACATAAGTGAGTTTTCTTTTCACCTGAATTGTTACTTTTGTGTTGTTCCTTAGTTTGATTGATACTAGGGATAAAAGAAGAAAATGGCTTATTGTTCATGAATCTGCACATTCATTTCTAAGAAGCAATAACTGTCCTGTGGAGAGAATGAAAGCTATTGAGAGGATATCAGGCAAACTCAAAGATCTTCAAGGAAAGTTAGCCATGTGGAACACATCAGAGGCCTCCTAAATCACCCACTCATTCAGGAAGGCCAAAGAGAAGGCACTGGAAAGGAGTGTATGCGCTAGGTGTGCCTGGGCTTTTGGGGCCACCGTTTCTACATCACCCCTTCCCCCGAAGTATTTATTGCACATCTGCTCTGTCTGGAACAGATGATAGATTGTGCTGGTTTGTTTGTTTTATTGTTTTCTATGTAAAGGCTATCTTGAGCATTGTTTGTTTCATCTTTCAGTCCAGACCCCACAGACTGTATCAGTGATTCCTGAGTAGGCGAGGAGCCAGGGTGACTGATGGGCCTTTAAAAGTTTGTCCCTCTCCTTATGACTGAAGAGAACCCCTTAGAAGGAATGGCTCTTTCTTTTTCAAGAGACCAAAGAGCCTGAATAAACCTAACATTCCAAAGCAGTGATTCCACTAATGAGGGAAAATGGAATAGTTTTGCTCACCTCTCAGAGATTTTACGGTTTCTGCAGGAACTCAGGCTGAAGGCATCCCTGACCATCTGTATTGATTCAGAGATACTTAAGAAAGAAATACTGCTGAGGCTTTTTTCTCTCCTTCCACTCAGTAGTCACAACTATTCATTTCATAAACATCTAACTGAAGGCTGGTTGCACACTCAATATGCCACGTAGCACACCGCTTCCTGGGAATGGAATCATGACCAAGACAGCCCAAACGCCTGCCCACTGGGGGTACACAGTGAATGTGATGCCTACTTCATGTGTAAAAGCAGACACAGCCATACCGAAATAGTTTATATTGCAAGGGAAAAAAATTATGAAACTATTTTAACATAAACACATTAAAACTGTACAAAGAAAAGTGTCCGTGTAGCTGAGATTTTTAAAACCTAGATTTGGAAAAAGCACCCTCTGTGTCTTTGGCCAACTCGCAGATATGTTCCATAAAGCAGGAAGGGCAACCGCTCTCAGCAACCCGCATCACTAAGAAGGCCCAGTTAACTCGTTTATATTTTTGTGGCAGCAATAGTTTTCCACGAGCTCCCCCGATCTGTCAGAGCCCACTGACACCAGTGACTGTGTCAGGTAGGGGTGCATTCTAGTCCATTACCCCCATTTTTGAAGATTTAAAAAAATACAGCAAGCTAGCCTAGAAACACCAAGTAAATATAGGCAAGGGATATGTTGTTTAAACATTAGAAAGATTTTGCACTCATTTTTAGCCACTTTTGGAATATAATCCCATAGCAAATCTTCACAGGAGACTTTCAGAAATTCTTGCTATTGGTCAATTTCAATTTCAAAGCTTTTTGGTTTCTTTGCCTTTTCAGTTTTCATGCTATAGGGAAAACTATGATTCTGGTTGTTCAGGGTTGTTATTAATTATTATAGTTGTGTAAAATTGTTTCATTTTGTTTGTTTGATTATTTTATTTGGTGTGTATTGTGCACAGCTTTGGAGGGAAGTGCACTAATTGTGCTGACCCTTATAAATGGTACACCTTATCGACACAGACAAATAAAGTTTCTAATTGTTTCTGATTTAATCACTAGTGATACGGAATATTCTATATGGATGTTTTCTCTCTTCTCATTGTCATCTACTCCATTTTTTTTGTTTTCATGCTTTGAAAAAAATAAAGACCAAAAAGGTATTACTGTGCAATTGATATCCTGACCCAAGGTAGATGCAAGGTGTTCAACCTCTTCCACATGCCACCCCTCTGCTTAATACAACATAGTCTTTTTAATGTCCCAAGAGAACACAGAGCCAGAATATTTGTCTTCCAGTCTTGAAATAAATATTGGCATTCCTGCATTTCACTATTTTCTTTTTTACATCTTTAGTATGGGTCTATCTACATCCTTTCTGTATCCAGGAACATGATAAAGAAGTAGTAACATGTCAGGCAACATCTGAGTGCACATTGTATTAGGGCAAATCATTCAGTCTTGCTAAAACTGAGCAAGGGAAGTGTTGTTACTTCCCAAGAGATACCTGAGTGAAATTTTTTTTCCTTTAACAGCATACCCTGTATTCCTTTTGAGTACAGTATACAGTAGAACTTCTACGTTGTATGAGTAAGTTCCAACTAATTATACATGATTAACCTCATATAATCAAAACAGCATATAAAGAGGTGTCACCAGAACTAAATAAGCATCTGTGGGGAAAATATGTGACTGCTTACTGTAATAGATAGAGTCTGTTCGCTAGGTGCATGTAAATGATACTTTAGCCATCCAAACCTCTTTAAATTCTTCCATGGAATTCTTCCTTATACCATTACATGTCATGTAGTGGCACATGTGCTGGATGGTCATGTGTGGCACACTTTTATATATGAAGGAAATAAATGACTTTTAAATATTTGCTTGAATCAAATTTCCCCTAGGTGCCAGTCTTTGGTTTAATGGAAAATAAGCAGCCAGTATTTACTGGTTTCAAGAACAAAATGAGTAATTCAATGACCAAAGTATCCTTGACTACTCAGCAACCTTCAGTAAAATCCTCTGAGCAAAATTTTAATTCAAAGATTTTGATTCCTCCTTCCACCAGTGAAGATATTAGAGTGCTTTGTTTTCTATGGTTCATAGCATAAACGCACTAAAATTTGTTGCAGTGACCTTCCAAACTTAAAATTAAACTACAGAATATGCTCTTTGAAACAGCCCTGCAGAGGTTCTACTAGGCGGCTCTCACCTGATTCACAGGTGATACCACAGCCCAAGGCCTCTGATTATAACCTGTCACAATAAAGTGACTTGTTTTCTCTGCATTCAAGATCTTGATGAAAGAAATTAGAAAATTTTCTCTGGAAGAAGATAAAGCCTTCTGTTTTCTGATAGTGACAAAACTTCGCCTTTTCAAGAACACAAATGAACCCCAGTAAGGCTTCCTTCAGTATTTCTGGGCTCATGTTGAGTCTCTTTTTTGGCCGTGATTTTTCTTTCTCGGCTCTTGCACAGTTGCATGCACAATAAGTCCTGAGTGCAGTTTCATGACTGGAGGAACATCTGAACACTTTGTGATTAACAGTATACAACACTGGACTTCATCCAGCCTACAGCTGGCATTCAGCATTTGTTAAAATAATCATTGCCCTGGGCCAAGGCATTCTAACTGTTGTAGAACCAAGCAAAGATAAGTGAGGATTTCAAATTAATAAATCAGTGCACTATGCTAAAGAGAGACACCAAAATCACATTATCTTACAGAGAAAGAAAGTTGCTGTCCTGAGTGTGTCCATTAGCTTTTGTTCAGATCTTGCTACAGATTTTTGTTAACAGGTTTCACTTTTACCATTCTTTTCTAACATCATATACTTACCTCTTCTTTCCATATTCATCATCTTCACATCACCTAGCACATTTCAAGAACATATTTGGTTTTCTACCTGCAAAAATAGCATAGAAAAGCAGGCATGGTACAGGCCTGCAATTTTGGTACTTGGGAAACTGAGGCAGGAGGACTGCCACAAGTTTGAGTTCATGGACAGCATAAACTATGTAGTGAGACCCAAAAAAATGGTAGCATAGAAAGGGTAGAGCCCTAAACTAGACATTTCATTTTTGAAGTTTACTCAGTCTATGGCTAATTATCTCTGAAGCAGAAAATGTCTTACCTGTAGAAGGAGCAGCCACTGAGAAGTGGAACTCCCAGGAGAGAAAGTGCTTCAGTTTTCCAACTCACAGGAAGTGGTAAGTATCCAGCTTTCTGTGTCTTTTCCTTGGCCTGCCAAGATGTCTAAAAAGCTATACTCAAGAGCTCTCCAAATTTTCAGGTTTTTAAGTCTTCTATTTTATAGTAATATAAATTATTATTTATTCTGATGTATACATTTGGAGGAGACCACTACTCCTAGCTTCATCTTCCCTCTCCCTGCTGTCCACCTTGGCAGCATTTCCATTGGCTACTCCCAGTACATTCAACTACTCTGACTGTTGCTCTTACCCTGCCCCCATCAATAGGTTAAAAGCTCATGCAAAAAGCAATTGCTCAGGATGTGATTTCCTGAAAGTGACTTTATCATAGGAAAAATCAAATTTGCCTTTCCACCTATATCAGTCTTTAGAACATAGTATGGTATCTCTACAGCTGTTGAGGACAGATTATACCCTAAGGTTACATATAATAGCAGTATTACTGATTTTTCTACTTCCTGGAAGCACATTTATCATGCTTCAGTACCCATCTGTCTGGCCCTCTATCAATACATACATACATAGATCAGGAATGAGAATGTACACGTCCCCCCGCAAGTCCTAGAACAGTTCCTATGAAGGTGAAGTCTGTAAATATAGAAGTATAAAAAGCATATAGCCTCCATGCCTCTGAGAAAGTTGAATGTGAGAAAGTAACTTGAATGTGTGTTTGTAGGCGCTATATTTCTGATGTGCAAATGGCACGAACATCCACAATAATAACCAGGCACACTGACATAAAAATTAGCCAACTTCAATGCTGCTGAGTCATTTTTGATGGTACCCAGGTTGCCCCCTCTAGATTGTTGACTGAAGAGACAGCTTTACCTATCCAATTCAAAGAACATATTTGGGTGAGGGGAATTAATTCACTAGGATGATGCTATCACACCCTCTGTACCAGAAATTGTCTATTCAGTTGGAAGGGGAGGGCTTAGAGATTTTTCAGAAACCTATTTCTATATTCCTAAAGAATTTTTAATTTACTCTTTGACTCCCTGAAATCAGAGTAAGAAATGATATAGACCTTCACTAAAAATGTACTTTAGCTTTGCCATGACCTGCCCTTTAATATAAAAACCAGATTCTTGACCTTATATACTATTCTTTTAAAAATACAAAGTAAAATTTTATTAAATAAGCAAGTATTCAAAGACTTTTAAAACTATTTTACCTATAAAAGGGTAAACTGTCTAAATACTGCTGCTAAAAGTGACATAATCCAGATGGCTACTTTTGAGAAAATGATATTATTTCTGGATTTTTCCTACCTGTCTATAATCATTTTAGCATTACACTAAGAAAGAAATTTTGAAAGATTTTCCATTCCAATCATCCTCATATGGTGTGATACAGCTAAAATAATGACCTGGGTAAGAATTATCAATGTTGTTGACAAGAATATATTTTAAAATGAAAGAATGTGGCACAGATATATTAAGTAGAATTTCATCACATATTACCCTTGCCTACGGTATTTAAAAGTCATTATATCTAAGTAAGATAGATTTCCAGTTTCCAGAGACAATTGTACAATTTGAACTTATATTCCCGGGTTTTACATGAAAATTAAAGGTGGACATGCATAAATTTTTGTTTTGATAACCAAAGAAAAGTATGCTTTTGGCACCATTTCCTTGCTATTGAGGTATTTTAGTGGGATCCACTAGATCTGTACAAATGTTTCATAAAAAAGTTATTTCAATATATTCCTTCCCTTCCATATTTTAAGCTATAAAATTTTTAAAATCCCAACTTGATAACTTAATACTTCCTTTTATAAAAGGATGATTCAGGTTGGATATTGCTATTTGTATTTCAGAATTTTGTTTGTAATCTTCATTTTACCAAAAGTCTCCTTTTTAATAAGTGCAAAAATAAATAAATTAAGATTTGGAGTACTACTTAGATTGTTTCTCTGAGAACCAGATAGTTTCAACATTATCTCTGCTACACTATAGAGATGCATTCATACAAATAAAATAGCTCATGTGTCAAACACACAGATTCAGATTGCATTTTGGATGTCTAAGACTGAACAGAAGTTCCTGTTTGGTTAATAATCCTTTTCATCAAATCTTTTATATAAATAGAACAAGGTGGAGAGAAGGGAAAGAAACACAGTCTTGATTTTCTTTTTGTTTTTTACCTAAAGATACAAACTCAAAATTATTTGAAGACTGCTTAGAATGTTAATTACACGTATCCTTCCAAAAACAAAAGTAAGTTTTTAAAATAAAGGAACTTATTTTTCTTCCTTTCATTTAGCAATCATTTCTGGTAGAGAGTCTTTAGGATTAATGAGGGCTCCTTCTGACTTGGGTGGGTGTTGAAAGCAGCTCTTCAAACATATTGTGTTTTAACATATCATGGTCAAATTCATGAGATTTTATATTTTCTCTTGAAACAGCACAAAGCAGGCAGACAAGCATACATTAAGACATTTTCTACAAAACATGTCTGGCATGTTGGCAGAAAAACAATAGGAGTTTCACCAAGTTCTGCCACAAATACTTAACCATCCACATCACGTTTATCCTCTCCTCTCCTAGCTGCAGTTTAGCATGGATATTTACAAATGGGCCAGGGCTCGGTTTTCATATACAATGATTGCCTTGTCTCCAGTGTTTTTCCTCAAGATCTTGCTAACAGCCAAACTAACCCTTCCAACCAATTGATACATGACATTTCTCCAGAGGGACAGGTAAAGAAGAGATGAGGGGTTGCACAAGAAGCAGTGGTATTAGTGCCAACCTATTGGAACCTATTTAACCAACTGCTTTATTATGTACTGAACCTTTTTGGGGACATTTACCCTTGGAAATAGCAGAAAGCCTGTTTTATTAATATTTCATCAACACAATTTTATGGCACTGCATCAAGCAAAGACTAATATCATATAAAAACTGAAAGTTATTTTTCAGCTACAACTGTTAGTGCTAAATTTGCAAGAATTCTTTTCTTTGTAGTTGCTACTCAGAACTCTAAGAATAAGTTTTCTACTGCCATCAGTAATCTTATAGGAAATTTGAAATTCCAAATCCTTTTTGAGACAGATGATGCTTCGGTGAATGTATGCATGAGTCTTAAAATATTCTTGATATTCTCAGGCTGCTCTCACAAATTCTGCATAGATTTTTTTTTAAATGAGAACATTTCTCCTCAAAATGCATTGGGAGTTTTTCCAATAACTGGTTGTATTTTACTGAGCAATGAGTCTAGCACCTAAAGAACTGTGAGTAGTTAGTTAAATCAGTGACTTTTCCTCTGTGCTTCCTTTTTCTTACTTCTGACTTCTAATCCCTCTGCACATTCTTCAGAAACAACTGCAAACGGTGAAAGAAAAGTCAAACAAAAGACATTTTCTTCCTTTCAAAATGAACTAAATTTGCTTAGCATCATAAAAATTGTGCTTGAATTATTTTAAACTTTAAACAAAATTTTAAAAGATGGCTTAAAATGCCAAAGTGGACTCCATGATTGCTTTTTTTTTTTTTTAAGCAAAGCTATCCTCAACACATATGCTATTATAAAGGATTTAGTAACATCAGTGCCTAGCCACTGCCTACACGCTCCCATGCATGTGGTATCTGTACACAAATAAGCAGTTCAGCAGAGGAGACAGGTTGCTATTTATGTCATAACCACACTACCATTCAACAGTCAGGGAGGGTCAAGAAGTAGGCATAGGTGCTAGCTTTAGAGCCACAAGCAGCAATCCAGCTCAGTGTCTTGTTGGATTAAAACAATACCAGAAATATTTTGTCCACTTGATATTTTACCTGCAATGACTCCTTTCTGTCTGGAACTAGTCTGTTTTGTTTGACTGTAACATTTCTACGCAGTTCATTTACAGACTTGTTGCCTGCATGGAAAGCAAAGCTTTCTTTGGAAACTTGTTTCCATGGAACTGATTTTTTAAAAACACAGAAAGCAGCACAGCCAAGCAGACTGGACCTATCATACAAGTCTAAACTTGTATTTGTTCCTTCCAAAACAATATTATGACATATAATAAAGTGAAAATAATAATTTTAATGCCATGCAGAATTAATTCATATATCTACAGAGCTTGAACTACCCAAAATCAGACTCATGGATAGTAGTAGCATGCCTTTACCTTAAACCTTGATCTGTCTTAAGAAAAGATAAAAATAGGTTTGGTTCCCTTTAAAGCAAATGGCAAGATATTTAATATTTGAAAACAACAAAGAAGGGAGGTTGGTTCTGGATAGGTTTCTGAGCTACAGAGGAGGCCAGGCTTCCTTCAGATATTCTTGAAGTTTTCCTCTTCCTGGTAAGGTTCTATCTGCCATGGTTCCCAGTAGAATTTCCCACACTTGTTCTATGGGAGGACACTGACACACCTTCAGTCTCTGCCTTTTATTTTCTAAATCTCTCAGGAGAAATGAAACAGCCACTCCAGAGCTTGGAACATAGTACCAAAAAAAAAAAAAAAAATGGCAGGCACTTCGTTGACCGACCCAGAAGTTTTGTATGAGAGCATACACTGTTCTGACTATGTCTATCTTAACGGTGTACTCACTGTGCAGCTTTCTTAAAGAGACTGTAGCTAGGTAAATGTCAACTAGATAATTAGCTGAAGAAAAGTAATCAGAAAGAAACCAGTAATGGCAGAAAATTGGTCAATTTACCGAATCTATCTTCTGAGATCATGGACTCACTTTATATTCATTTGAAATTTAAAACAACAGCAACAACTTGGTCAAATCAGTAGAGCAATTTTCAAACCAAAATGTCATAGTCTATATTTTTTTCTGACACACAATTCACTTTAGCTCCGACACTTATATAGCTCAAAGTACTGTGTTAGATGTACTAAGGTGATATGAAGAATTCAAGGCAAAGTAACTGAAGAAAATTAACAGTAGCTCTGGGTTTACTTAGGAGGAGTCCAGTGATGTCATTCTAATTAAATTAAACTTTCATTTTAGTCTGGAGAAATTTTATCCATCTGAACTTGTTTAAGGGAGTTTTTCTGAAATCAACTTCTTAATAAAAATAGATATACTCATTTTCTTAGTTTCACATTTCTGTCACCAATGAAATGGACTCAGACTCCACAAACACATCCCAGCTTCATCCATTAGCCAACCTTTCTGTGAGGTTGGCATACAGTCTCTTGGTTAACAGTTCAAGTTGGGAAAAGTCTGTGAGAGAGATCATTTTCCTCATCATTTGCTGAATGTCTTCTTTCAAGGGGGTGTTGAACTAACTCTCAATGGATTTTCTTATCTCTCCCCATTGCTCATTACACTCTGAGGAACCTGGCTGGACTTGAGTGAGTTGACAACTGCAGCTCTAGTCTTTTCACAGCAGGGAGAGGACCTCAGGTTCCAACTCTGAAGACACAGTGTTCTCTGCAAAATATGAACACCAAACAGTCATTAGAGTAGAGACTCAAAGGTTTTTCTGTTTTGAAAGTATCTAATTGTTTCAGAGAGTCATGAATCTCAGATCTCTCTGTATTCGAATTTTCCACTCATGGCATGGAGGGATATAGACTTTTCCAGAACACAGCCAGCCCCACATGGTCAGTGGCTCCATTATCACCCACTCATGAGTAGGAGTTAAAGGTGCCTTAGGTTTTGAACCAGTTGCTGTCCATTATACATTATATATTACAATAAAGCTACATAAAGTCTGACAAAAATTTAAAGACTTATTTTGAAATAATTATTTGTGCACTACTGGAAAATGTCTCCTTTCCCTGAGGGGAGTAAGAGGATTCCTTTGTGAAAGAGCATCTAATAGAAGATATAATGAAATTGGAATGGATTTCAAATCAGTGTCCATCTTAGGCTGAATCCATTATTCTTCTAAAGGTAAAGCTTAAGATTGCGTAGTTTCTAGCAATAATATGCTTAACAACAACCTTTTAAAAGAAAAAGACTGGCAGCAGTTATTTTATAGGAAGGTATATAAATTATAAACAGGCTGTGTTGTGACGAGGCAGAAAGATGTTTAAAGGTACAAGAATTCCAGGTGAAGATGAATGAAATTATCATTTGCTACAAATTCAACTGTCTTCTGAATGCCTCCTTTGTTATGGAGAAAACTACTCAAAAAGACATCACAAAAAGATTTAAACCATACCCCTAGCGATCTTTTGGTCTGCCACAGCCCAAATGCCTCATTAGCAA